ACAAAAAATAAATCACAATAGTATTGGGCTAGCTTAGTTCCTTAACCCAACCAGCTAAAAGAGTTTTATCTAACCTCCTTTTGTTATTCCAAAATTAGAACTCTGTTAAGAAACATTTATATATCCATCTGTAAATATATAATATTAAAAATCTATCATTTATTTCTATATTTTCAATTGCAAACTCATTTATTCTTTAAAAAATTTAAAACATTCAATTTATCCTTTCAATTAAATTTTCCAACCTTACCTTTTTTTTTTTTTTTTATTGAAATGCTCTTTATTAAAATACGAAAAAAATAAAAACACTTGAAGTTGCATAACCTACATGTTTTATTTTTTAAGTCTTTAAATTTTTATTTTATTTTTTTAATTTTTTTCCCATTTCAATTAGGGTCATTTTGGTAAAATAAATTATTTGACTGAAAAAATTAATTAAAAAGACAAATTGAATATTTCAAATACTTTTATGAATCAATAGAATACAATTAAAAACTTAGAACATATGAGAAATTTTAAGTATTAATTAAAAACAGATGAGTATATTTGCCTTAAATATTTTGGAGGTGTTCTTTGACATCCCTTGTAGTTTTATTTTTAAAAAATTTAAAACTTCAAACAAAATATTGATCTATTTTTAGTTTTAATTCTCAAACAATTATAGAATACAGCCAGCAATTACCAATATTTTAGAAAATAAAAGAATGTTTTGCCTATTTTTATTTCTGAAAATAATAAATCAAGGTAAGCAAGTTTTTATTTTTATTTTTTGGTTTAAAAACATTTGAAAAAAAGAAAACTAGAAATGATACCAAATAACCCTTCGCTTATCGAAAGCCTACCTTATGTGTAATAATTTTCATGAGAATATTTGGGGCCAAGATAAAATTTTGAAGGTGGTAAAATAAATTTTCCAATATGTCCCAATATGTCGAGATTAAAAATCATGTCCTTATGATTTTAATTGTATATGCCAATTTGCCAAAAAAAAAAACCGAATATGTCGCAATTCACAATTTATTTTGTTTATTTATTATCATTATTTGTTTAAGGTAGGTTTTTTTCATCGATAAGAAATGAGAAATGAGGTTTTTTTCAATGATAAGAAATGAGAAAAGAGCTCAGATTTCACTTTATGGACTTACAAAAGCATACATAAAAAAGATTTTATATAAAAGAAAATGAAATTAGATCTGAAACTATAATATTAGAGAAAATGATGCGCTCTTTTTTCCAAGAATTCACCCAGCAGATCTTTCTCATGTTATTCACTGTCACTGCGGTCTGATAAACCCACCAAAGGGACAAAAAAAGGACTGATAAAAAAAAAAAAAAAAACAAGTAGAAAATAGATTGGAAGTGAAAAATAGTGCTATCGTCATTAATTTCTCGTCGGCGGCAACTAAAAACATTAAAAAAAAAAGATCTTATGCTAAAGAGAAATAGATTGCTAGGGCTAGGGATAGAAGAAGAGATAAAATTTGCACCAAAATAATAATAATAATAATAATGTCATAATTTATAATTCGTACACACATATATATAAAGTAGAGATTACACCATCATAATTCTAGTAAAAAAAATCCTTCATTCATTTTACAGATACAATTATATTTATATAATATTTGGTTTATATGCTCGGAGAGTTGCTTCCCATATTATCATTTTAAATTTAAATTAAAACAATTCTTATAGAAAATATTTGAACAAAAAATGACATTGAAAAAAGAAAGAAATTTCTTGCTAATGCTTCCCATAGATGGTAAATATAGATTGTTCTCCATGTAATTATTTTTCATTTAAATTTAAGAAATAGGCGGCCAAAAAAACAAAAAATTTGATGAAAAATGTAATATGGATCTAAACGATTTACTTAAATTAAATCAGAGATAGATTTAATTGATCCAAACATATCTAACATTTATTTAAAAGAATTAGATTAAATAAAAAGAGCTCTAGATTCGAGTGCTTTTGCACGGAAATTTTTTTTTATAACTGTGATTATTTTGTATAATTGATTGAACAATGAGAGATTAGATTAAGTATTTAAGTCTGGGATAAACTAGGATTAAGAAAAAAAAAAGCTGAACCTTTAGAAACAAATCCAGTGACAATCTTTGCAGCATAACACAAATTTGTTTGAGAGGAGAAGGCTCCAAGGTCTTTGGGGACAGTGGAGGCAGACATATGCTCAGTTGACAGCATTAAGGTTAAAGCCATAGGTTGCCTCTAATGCCATCAACTGAGCGCATGCATGCCTTGACATGCTTCACATTAACAACCATTTTTTTTTTTTTTGGTAAATCTAACTTTCTTCAATCCTCTTTCTGCTGCTAAGAACATCATATCTTTCCTTTCAACCACTCCGCCCATGCTTTCAATTCACCTGTGCCTTGCCATATTTATATACAAACCACGATGGCTAGATCTATTATTTCCACTGTGTGTTTCTAATTCATCAAAAAAAAAAAATCTTTTTATTATCAATTCGGTTAATTGAGTACATGCATTTTTTTATTTTAACCAATTGAGTACTATTTTTTAAAATTAAAAACTTGTCTCAATCAATTGAATATATACTTTTATTGACTATATGATGCATTAGTATTAACTTTCCTTTTCTTTCTATTCATATCATCACTTATTTGATACTTCTTATTGAGTAATTTTTTTTTTTAATTTAGGCAAATTACATTCAATTGATTGAAATTAAAAATATACTTGTTCAATTGACTAAATTGACAATAAGGAGGTTTTTTTGTCGAATTGATGAAAACACATGATGCAAATAATTAGTTTAGTCAATCCCATATACATCAGTTAAGAAATTTTGTTTTCTTCCTTAATCTCTTGGATTCCAATTTTGGGGCAAAATTTCAGAAAAATTTGTTAAATTTATGTAAATGCACCAAACAAATATGGAAGGAGCACCCTTAAGATTATGAACAGAAGAAGAATTTAGTCTCGATTGACATACAAATTAATCTAAAAATTCCTTTACTGTCAAACCAAAAAAAGAAAAAAAAATCCTTATGAAAATCCTTATCTTCATAAGCATACATTGCATCATGTAAAGTAACAACACAATGACAACCTGATTTTTTACAAAGACAAGCTCAAATTTAATGGTCTTTCCATAAAGTCAAGGGACGTTTACGTAAAAATCATTGAGCATTTAATTTTATTTTCCTTATTATGAACTAGTGGATAAGCTAACCTTTCAATTTTTGTGATTTAATAATAATGAATAGTGAGAATATAAAATGGATATTCATTATTTCATAACAATATTATTATTATTATTATTATTATTTTCAAGCTATTTCTAACATGTATCTTAAGAACACACAGATAGTTGATGCAAATAGAATGTTCTAATTTTTATAACTAATAATATTGAATTATGGATAAAAAATTCTAAGAGGATACGTTAATTCATATAAATAAAATGTTTTAGTTTTTATAATCAACACTATTGAATTATGGATTTAGAATTCACTCAAACATGAAAATGAATCCACTAATTAAATTAATTAGAAGGTGAAACATTCTGTTTATATTGATTAATATATGCCCTTAAGACATATCTATGTTAAAAAAATCATTTTCGAAAAACAATTTTTGATATTTAATTCACAAACCCTATACAAATATTCAAAATTTGGGATTTCAGAAATGTGGCTAAATATATAGAAACAACAATATACTCCAAACAACTTACTTTTTTTTTTTTTTTGCCAAGTATAAAAGTAACAAAAAAAAAAAAAAAAATCATTTTGCGATTCATGCATTATTACCTATATTACATGCCATGATTATGAATGTGCTATTAAATATGAAAAGATTTACCTTCGAAGCATGATTTACTAAACGTATGATTTGGATAATTTAATTATTCTATCGTTCCCACAAAGACAGCCTTTTCTTATTTAGATATCCCAAAATGTATGTCTATTATAAAAAAAAGTTACAAAAATTTTACTACTTTAGTTTAACTCACTTTAAAATTTAAATCCAATTATTATTTTTAATTCAATTACATTTAATTTTAAAGAAAAATATGCTAAATACAAGACATAATATTTAATTAATGTATTTAATTTTTTAAATCGTCATGTGTTTTTTTTGTTAACAATCACGGTAAAATTGAAGGGAAATATCTATTTGTGCAAGTAATGCTAGAAATATTAAAAGTTTGTTACTAAATCAATAAAATATAATTCTATAATTAAGGAAATATTTTTAAATTTAATATGGTGGATTATTTTCATTCATGGGCTATTACACACACACACGCATATATATATATTTTGGGTTGAATTAATTATGACAATTCCATTGAGTTATTATAAACTATCTAAAAATTTGACAAAAACCTCTTTCATGTTTAAGAAATATTAAAAAAAAAATATTTTTTTTAAAATCGAAATCACCTTTAACTACGATTTAAAAAATATTTAATTAAAAATTTATGAAATTAGAGTAAGACTATAAAAAATAGACATGAAGCTTCCATTTAGAATATATGCAATACTGGGCTGCAGAGTTTCCTTCCCAATGGAGTTGGGTCTTAAGCCTTTTTACATTATAGTCCAAGAATTAATCTTAAATTTCCAAGTGCAGTTTGGTCAAATCAAATTTACAACGGCTCTTTAGGAAAAATGTAGCCGTTGCGCAAAACCCTAATCTCTATATTCTCCTTCACTGTATGCGTTCTTCATCTTTGAAAAACTGCATTCTAATCACTATATAAACCAATCAACTCCGTTTTAACTCCCAATCAAATCAATCTCTCTGTAAAATTCAACAACATATCGCCTCTCTTTCTCTGTTTCTCTGCTTTTTTATTTTTTTATTTTTTATTGTGGTTCTCTTTGGTCACTAACATCTCTGTTTTGCAGAACGCACAATCTTGTTGGGTTTTTTTTTTTGTTTTTGATTACTTTCACTATCTATCTGTCTATTATTTGTTTTTGTTGTTTTTGTTTCTTGTTAACATTATGGATGCAGGATCTATGAACTCTTCTTCAAGCTTGAAAGCACAATCTCGTTGCCCTCTTCAACAGCAGTTTCTTCCTAGAATGAACTCTAAGGAAAACGTAAGATTTTTCATTTGGTTTTCTTGATTTCCGATAATGATTCAATCAATTGTGAATTGGGTTCTTATAATTTGTTTCGCACATTCGATTCTCGTAACAGTTGGATAGATTTATACCGAACCGGTCGGCTATGGATATGGATTATGCCCATTTCATGCTCACAGAAGGGAGAAAAGGAAAGGAGAACCCAACAGCGAACTCACCGTCAAGAGAGGCTTACAGGAAGCAACTTGCTGATACCTTGAACATGAACCGAACTCGAATTCTAGCTTTCAAGAACAAGCCTCCTGCACCTGTTGAATTGATTCCTGAAGGCCAATCTCTTCACCACCAGGCCAAAAGCGCCAAGCCACGCCGACATATTCCTCAGTCTTCTGAGAGGACGTTGGATGCACCTGATCTCGTGGATGATTTCTACCTCAACTTATTGGATTGGGGCAGTAGCAATGTTCTAGCCATAGCTCTTGGAGGCACTGTCTATTTGTGGGATGCTGCAGATGGTTCTACCTCAGAATTGGTCACAGTTGATGATGAAGATGGACCTGTTACCAGTGTCAATTGGGCTCCTGATGGACGCCATATTGCCATTGGCTTGAACAATTCTCATGTACAGTTATGGGATTCTGCTTCCAATAAACAGGTAGGCCCATACCTCTTTCATTGTTGTCCATTTTTTATGAAGCCTTGTGATTTTCTCTAGTTTTTCTCTCGTTACTGTTTGCTTACAGAGTTTGTTTTGGTGATGTCTACAGCTAAGAACATTGAAAGGTGGCCACAGATCACGAGTTGGGTCAATGGCATGGAACAATCACATCTTGACAACAGGAGGAATGGATGGTAAAATCATTAACAATGACGTGAGAATTAGATCACACATTGTTGAGACTTACAGAGGCCATACACAGGAGGTTTGTGGGCTTAAATGGTCAGCTTCAGGTCAACAATTAGCAAGTGGAGGAAATGACAATCTAATTCATATATGGGATAGATCTACAGCAACATCAAACTCGGCAACACAATGGCTTCACAGGCTTGAGGACCATACTTCTGCAGTGAAAGCCTTAGCTTGGTGTCCTTTCCAGGGGAATTTGCTCGCCTCTGGAGGAGGTGGAGGAGATAAGTGTATTAAGTTTTGGAATACACATACAGGTGCTTGCTTGAACTCAATAGATACTGGGTCTCAGGTTTGTGCTCTGTTGTGGAACAAGAATGAGAGGGAGCTACTTAGCTCTCATGGGTTTACTCAGAATCAACTCACTGTTTGGAAATATCCATCAATGGTGAAAATGGCAGAGCTCACAGGCCATACTTCCAGAGTCCTTTACATGGCTCAGGTAATAATTTGAAGATTATATTTGATTTTCTTAGCGATCTTTATTTATGGCTTTAATTTATTAACTTTGTTGTTTTCCCTACAGAGTCCGGATGGTTGCACAGTAGCAACAGCAGCTGGAGATGAAACACTGAGATTCTGGAATGTTTTTGGAGTTCCAGAAGTGGCTGCTAAAGCTGCTCCTAAAGCAAATCCCGAGCCATTTTCTCACTTGAATCGCCTTCGCTGATGCCAAAAAGAACACAGAACAAGAAGTTGAATCTTGCAGAAGATGTGCGCATATGTTATATATAGCATCAGAATGATAAGTGAACCTCAAGTTCGGTTGCATATCTCATCATCCATCCTTGCAGTGGCGCATCCCTCACCTCCAATTATTGTACAAATAAAGAATGATTTTAAAGAGTTAGTGGCTGGCTGTGTACCATCAAAATATTCATATTGGAAGCTTTCAGAACGTGTTTCCCCCGTGGATTAGTCACTCATGTGGCGAACCACGTAAATTTCTGTGTTTTCTCTCTTTGATGCTTTTTTTTTTTTTTTTTTTTTTGTGACAATTAGATTATTCTATACATCCAGCGAAACAGTAAGGGTGAATTAAATCAGAATCCAAGAGGGAAATAACATCAATAGGAGGGACTATCCTCATCCCCCTACTCTCGAATGGAAAAGACTGGAAAGTGAAAGAATAGGAAAATCAGTTCATAACTAAAAAATAGTCAATTTTCTGCTGCTAATGTCCATAAGCACAAGGGCTTGTAAGTTTCCAAAAAAATCCACAGTTTTTAAAATTGAATAGCTTGAGATGAATGTCCCAGTGGAGCTAAGTGAAGTAGCTAAGGTTCTTAACCAGCCATGGCTGCAACAATACATCAGCAATTATAATAGCAGAAATTTACCATCAAATATTCCTGGTGGATGCTTTCAGGATGTTTCCCCCGTGTAAAGCTTTGATGATACACTTGCATATAAGATTGGACAAACAATCGTGGACTTAAGTGGCAAGTAAGAGATGAGTTTCATCTTCGGTTTATGGATGGGTGTATATGGTTCTGCTAGATTCTTTTTTATACGGAAAAAACGACCCGTTTCTAAAAATAAGTTTATGGTTAGGAATAAACCTTTAAAAGATTCTCAGTTATCCTGATCAATCCTTGTTTATAGCTATGGATTCAGACAAATATACGTGGTAGTTACAGTGTTTTTGCATTTATGAACTATCTAAAAATAGTAGTAGTTGCTAAATTTAAGGTATGAATTTTGCATGCCTATTTTTTCTGAGTGATTCGGAATAAACCTTTGTCATTGTTGATTGATTCTAGGAAAATGCTGCAGAGCTTTCTTTGTAAGTTGTTCCTATTCCTCTCTCCCTCTTTCTGACTCTAAATTAGTAATGTTTGAAGTGTATATTGTGGATTTGTGCTTTTAGCATCAGATCTAAAAACTTTTCATTTTAGATCAAAAATTTGTGTATGATTTGCTTAAATGGTTGTTCTTTTTCCTATCTGTTTCCATTGCAATGAAGGCATTTTCTTAGATAATTTGTTGTAGAACATGAAAGGGAAGCCTCTAACATTTATGAATTTACATTTGGCTGTCTTCTTCTTCCCCTCAGTCTTTGATTTCATTTTAACTTTTTTTCTGTATGAAAATGAACGTTTTCAAACAGCAAGATTTGTTGTTATTCTTTTCGATATGTTTCCCTGCCTTTATCTTATGAATCTTGGTGGTTAATTTGGTTTATATCTTTTTTCGTGTTTTATGAATTTTGTTCTTAATCCTGATCGCACATAGTTTAAATTTTCTCCTTTGCACTTTTTTTTGACATCAATCTTTTACTTTTGATGGTTGTAGCCTTGTAGGATTAGACATCTTAGGATGCATTTAAACACTGGTAAAAATGCTTGACCCATGTTTTCTACTTTTCGTTTTTGTTCACTTAGATCGTTGATGACATTCATCTCACTCCTAGAACCAAGTTTTAAGCCTCTAGGAAGATGTTTATAGAGTGACAACTTTTTTTTTCTTCTTGTTATTAGGAAATGAGTATTGCATCTTCTGTTTGCAGCTTTCTATTCACAATGGAAATATTGATCATGTAATTATGCTCAATTTCCTTGGATGCTTCAATTCAATCAAACAGTGTTCCTTGCATGCGCGTGCGCGCACACACACACATATAGATCGATGATGGGGTATTTGACTGCCACAATATCAGATTCTAATTGATCAATCTGATTAGGTTGCATGATTTCAAGCACAGTTAAATATTATGATATTGTTTGTGTCCATTTGGGATCTGGTTAGTTCAGGTGCAACATTTCTTATACAAGTCATCTTTCAGAGTTTATAAAGTGATCTGTTTATCAGAAGTTCAAAATCTAAAAATCCATTATGCAGGAATTGTGGAGTATTGTTTCTGCAAACTCTTCTCAGTCAATGTACATTATTTTTGCTTCATTTAATTTGGCCTGAGAATCGTTACTATGATAGATAAGCATTTCCATGAACTTGTTTGTGTTTCTTTTTTCATTTCTCCTGTAAAGTTTCCTCCTTTGCTTTAAATGAAAGTGTTATTGTGTGAACTTTTTTCTGTGAAAGGCTGTTTTTCTTTTTGCGGATCAGATTCTGTTTCATTGCTAGTTGCTGCTGTTGATTATTTTGAATTTTTGTTGAATATCCTCTGTTTGCTTTGATTGCACATCGATATGACAATGCCGAAATGCTATGAGTGCATAGACATGACAATGCTGAATTGCCTAGGAGCCAGTAGATGTCCTCATTGATTTACTGTTCTTGCTTTTCTTACAACTTTTCTTGTTTTTCCATTTTGTGTTACAGCATGAAAGTCAAGAGCCGGTGTCTGATTACACAGATAGAAGTTCACTCTTCGCCTTTTAAGTGTTATTGGATGATCGGATCATTGGAGGAGGGATATTTTAGCATATGACCAGTTGGAGGATCCAACCTTTTATGCCTATCATAGCTACATACATACAAGACTGCTGTTTTTACAGTGTTTGACTTCTCCCTGTAGTTCTTTGTAGTTGAAGGGTTACTGATATCTCTTTCTACTTTACTTGTCCCAAATGATAGCAAAGTGACTCAGATTCAGTTCTTCAGATTGAAAATATTCTCAAACACTGACAGTATTGCCTGCCCTACATTATCTGCGCTCAACTTTTCCTTCAATCATTGTAATCACTTCTTGAGTACTTCAGCAGAACTTTCAACAATGGAAACACTACGCGGACCTCAGTTTACGATGAACGATGGTAACACGCTGGTGACGGAGGTGGTATCTGACGATGATTCGCATCTTTGCCTCTATGTATTATTGCAGGACATGCTTAAAATTGGTGATCTTGTTGTTGGATTTGACATTGAGTGGGGTTTCAAAGGAAGTTCTACGAGCGGATCAGGAAGCAGATCTGGCAGAAATACTGAACATCATTCTCAGTCTGACAAGTCTGAGCTCCTTACCAGGAAAGTAGAACATCACATTGCTGTGTTATCCTTCTGCACTAGACTTGGCTGTGTCCTAATACGGCTCGCTCCTAATCATATTTCTCCATCTCTAAAACGCTTCTTTTCAATCAAGGACATTATGTTTGTAGGAGTTCATATCAAGGAAGATCTTCAAAGGCTGAGAAGTGTCCATGATCTGGTGGTTCGGAATGCAGTGGATTTAAGTGACTTGGCTGCTAAAATATATGACCAGCCTCGATTCCTTGTTTATAATGCAAGGGAATTGGCCTGCAAAATAGCTTCACTACGAGTAGACCCAAAACCTCTCAATGTTTTATGGTCAAATTGGTTTGAGAATACTCTTAGCCCTGAACAGATCGAGTCAGCAACTATTGATGCTTATGCAACGTACAGGATTGGCAAAAAGCTTATGGAAAGCGGTAGCAGCAGTGTCAAGAGGTTGTTCTTGTAATCTCTTCATTTATGCCCAACTTCTATTGCTGAAAGCCTAGAGGAACAGTTGTCTATTTATTACTCTATTTCGGAGTGAAATTTGATTGTGTTCTATTTTGTGGTTCTTGTTGTTGTCGTAGTCGTCGTCTAAGCTTCATTGTTAGCAGCTGAAGGTGTTTCTCTGCTATTTCAGAGTCTTGTGTTATATTTTGTATTTCACCGTTTTCACTAATGTAATACTACTACTACTATTATCAAGATTAGTCTGTATCTCTAATCTCATTCCGTTGGAAATAAAATTTTGAATTTGTGTTCAAGTACCATTTTTCTATTAGGTTCAGCAGAAGCAACACAGCAATGGGAATTAATACTTGTTGTGTGGTAAGCCTAAGCTGCCATGAAAGGAAAACGGGCAGCGGATGTAGAATTGATCGATGAGAAAACTTATATCTTCTCGTCAACATGCTGCATCATCCCTTCTTTTGTGATCCAACAATGTAAAGAAGATTTGCAAAACCTGATGCGAGTATTTGTTCCGACAACGAAAGGACCTAAAGCAGACCATGAAGAACATGGTTGAAGTTCAAATTGACTGGCTTAGTCTTCAATTTGAAACCAGAATCTTAACAGCTTGTCTGATTTAAGGTGACTAGTGCTGTGATGCGCAGTTCAAATTTGTAAACAATGAAGAACATGCAAACTTATAGTGATACAAAATTTCTCTCCTGTTTGTAGTTGAAGTTCGGGGGTACTGTATTTGTGAAGAAAAATCATGCGTTTCATCTACCATAAGCTCTGCAGAAAAACACAAGAACCGACCTTTTGTAATAGGCAAATTAAGAACAAAGAAGTGTGCTTTGACCACATCATCTGTACTTGTAGGTGAAGAGTTACGAAGAGATAAACATTGGGATTCCATCCCTGACAATTAAGAATGAATACCAAAAGCCCCAGATTTTTCTCAGGTCATAGTTCATCATCATCCAACATAAAGGTGCACACTAGAATCTAGATTGCAATAATAATGTGTGACCACAAACTCTTGGGCTATCTCTCAGATCATTCTTCATTCCAAGAATGTGTGGTCCTGAGACATTTGCTATGAATGAGGGAAGTCACCCGTATTCCTATTTCCCATGAGCCATATAGGCAGATTATATTTCAAACCATCAGATGGCTATTACAGCAGATGCATGACATTATTGTTGGGTTTCGCTAGGAATTCCATTTGGGTTCTGCTATTCTTGCAAATTTTACGTAATCCATTGTCGAAACAGGAATAACCTTACTGACGCTGTGCACTCGATCTTGTGTTTTGGCAAGGCTTCATGACAATTTTCAAAGCGACCGTTCGTTTCTGAAACAGTTTCTTGCTGACGATGACATTATATTTTGCTGGTGTTCATTTGAAATATGACCTTCCAAAGCTTCGATATCATGGTCTCCAAACATATCTAAAAAATCTATACTTTCTAAGCCTCAGCAATATTCCTCTTGATATTAAGGACAAGAATAGAATGTAAATTAATTGTTATCTCCGTCATCATTCATTAGCTTCTGCCCTCTGGATGGACTCCATTTAATATTGTTATCCAAGATCAAAAAAGAAAAAAAGAAAACAAATAATCATGATTGAATTGACATTCATTTCCGATTCTTTTCGATAAAAATAGTAGTGCATTTATTGATTGATCCCATGTTCGGCTACTAATCCAAAGGTTATGAATATTTTTCGTTACCGTGATTATGATTAAGTGATATTAAACTTTATCATGTTAGTTTTATCACACAAGATGATAATCTGCTGATAAGTAAGCATGGACATGTAAACTAAGTTTAAGATTCAATTATTATAATCAATACTTCTAAAAATTTATTTTTAAAATAATTGACATCATATTTTAAAAAACGTCCATTAACCATCTTGAGAAAAAAATTAATTTTGATATACACGAAAGTTGACCTTAAATGATGGCTTAAATGATGTTAATCTCACGTTTTACTGCAATGAAATGCAATCAAATTGCTGGTGAAAAAAATGAAAAGTCTCTATAAATTAGATATGTTTTTCTCTTTATTTTTTTAAAATATTGTATTTTTTAACTTTTCATACATATTAAAAGAATTATTAATTATTATGTTATATTTATATTTTTTATTCTTACTTTTTAAAAATACATATTTTTTAAAAATTTGTATTTGGATAATAATTTATAAAATAAACTTTAATTAGAGATATTTTAATAAAATATATTATTTAAAATTTTGATGAGATAAGTATTTTGCGATATATGCATGGATGAAAGGATAGACAATGTTTGACATAAGTCTTGCAAGCATGCGTTTGTTTTCCTCTTAGCATAAAAGAAAAAAAAAGGACAGAGCTCTATGCATCCTTTGCCACATCTTATCAGAACCCATCATTTGCAGAGACCGCCAAGACCAGTCAAATTAGAAGACAGAAAAAAAGTCAAAAAACGACGCCAATAATTTTTTCTTTTAAATTAAAAAAATATAATTTAACCAAGAAGAAGTAAGAGAGGATTCAAATTCAATTCAAAACCCTTTTTTAAAATCTCTGTCCCTTTTTTTTCTCTTGAAAGTATCTCAAAATTTTCACAACTTTCTCGAGAAAATAAAATCGCAAAACCCCAATTTTCTGGCGAAAAAGAAAATTCCCCAAACTTTCTCATCCAGACACACAAAATTATAAATTATCATGAGATTATTAAAACTGGTTACTCTATTTACGCTAATTACGTTGATTCTAATAAATTATACATGTCTCGCTGCTTCGATTGAGAGATCGCAGAGAACAAAGGAGGCATACGTGACGTTATTATACGGAGATGAGTTTTTATTGGGAGTTAGGGTTTTGGGGAAATCGATTAGAGATACTGGATCCACGAAAGATATGGTTGTTTTAGTCTCTGATGGTGTCTCTGATTATGCCAAGAAGCTTTTAAAGGTAACATTTTTTTTTATTTAGAGTTTGGTTGCTGAGGAATTTCAGGTTTGAAAGTGGGATTTTGGTGAATGAATTAAGTGATGAATGGATCCATTTCTGGTTTGGTGTTGGAGAAAGTGAATTTAATTGAGGAAAGTCGTTTTCTTAGTTAATTATTTGATTTTGGTGATTAATAAGGAAAAATGATTTAAATGAGTTAGAGTATTAAGTTTTTAGCTTTAAGTTGCTATACTTCTAGTTGGATTAATAAAGTTGATTACTTCAAGCAAAATAAAAATTGATGGGATTTTTTTATCCTACCATTGAATTCTTGGTTGCATTAGATTTAGATTTTGGTTGGTTTTTTTGAAGTTGTTTAATTTTTGTTTTGGGGTTTGAATTAATATTGTTGTGCAGGCTGATGGGTGGATAGTGGAGAAGATTAGCTTATTGGCGAATCCCAATCAAGTTCGCCCGAAAAGGTTTTGGGGTGTATATACTAAACTTAAAATCTTTAACATGACTAACTACAAAAAAGGTATAATATCTACTCTCTTTGGTTTTTTGGTTTCAATTCCAATCCTACTGTTGTTGGTTGCTTAGATTGTACTTGTCTTTTTTACTTGGGGGTTATATTTTTATAATGGTAAGTTCTTTCTATGAAAGTGGGGGAAATAAGAATCCTTCTCCATCCATCTAGAATGCAAATGGTGGCATGGATTGTGATGGGATCTTTTCACGTTTGTGTGTTCTTGGAGAATAAATGCTAATGATTTTTTCTGAGTGTTATTTTATTTTATTTAAGTTCACAGGCTCTTTGGTCCCCATCCCCCACAAGAGACAAGCATAATTCTATGATCATGTTTTAATAGTTTCAGGTTTTGTTAAAATTTAAAAATTCAAATCTCCTTTTGTTGCATGTTAAGAAATATCAGGATTTATACTTATGCTTTTCCTTGGGCTCTCAGAATTCATAAACGTTTCTGGCTTTCCCTGTTTCTTCTCTTTAAGATTGATATGAACCACACAACATATATTTTAGTAATTGGGCTGATTCCCCATTGGTGACTTATTCATACAGTTGTGTATCTTGATGCGGATACCATCGTGGTCAAAAGCATTGAGGATCTATTCAAGTGTGCAAAATTTTGTGCCAATCTGAAGCATTCTGAAAGGTTAAATTCAGGAGTCATGGTGGTGGAACCTTCGGAAACAGTTTTTAACGACATGATGAGCAAAGTGACCACTTTGCCCTCTTACACTGGAGGTGAACTGTCTCTTTTGTATCATTGTTAGTTATAATCAAGAGCCTACATTTCATCAATTGTGTTCGTTGCTATTGGTCATGTGTTTAACCTTTGGATCATTGCAGTTACTTGATCTAGAATACGCTCGATTGTTTTATTTGATCTTTGATTTGAAAGGAAATTTAGCTCTATATAACAACAGTGATACCACAAAGGTGCCCAGTCGTCGATAATGTGCCTAGCTACAATACCTTCTCAGTTAATAAACATCACCCAAAACTCTTATAGTTCTCTTTCTATCAAGGCATGAGCTGATTTTTAGTGAAATTAAATTTTAGTGGTTTAATTATCCATAACCTGACATTGGTCATTTGTAGAAAGTTATCTGTGGTGTAGTTGGTTTTATTACCTTTACTAAAATTCTCTATCCTTTTTCCTACATTCTTTATGGATATTGTCATTCAGCTGTCTACTTTCTGATATTCACTGTTACTTTTTTTTCCCAATAACAGGAGATCAGGGGTTTCTTAATTCATACTACAAAGAATTTCCAAATGCACATGTTTTCGAACCTAGTTTACCCCAGGAAGTATTGAAAACTAGACCTGTACCTGATATGGAGCGACTGTCTACTTTGTATAATGCTGATGTTGGTCTTTACATGCTTGCGAACAAGGTACTACATGTAAAAAGAACAAGATGGTTCTTATTTATTCTGATAGGGCAGATTTACTACCTCCATAACTGCTGATACTACTTTTCACTCGTGCTTTTGCTCTAACGTGTGGAGTAGAGTATCATATGCTCAACTTTCCTTTCTTGCCAATTTTGTAAATCTAACAAGTTCGACATGCAAGTTTACATTAATCTGCCTGGTTTAATGGACTTTGAATTCGATTCAAGTCTTTGGACTAGCTGTAAGCATGAACAAATATTGAACTACAAAGTCCTTGGTTCATGGTTTGCATGGTTACATTGTGGTTTGTGATATGCTTCTGATTTTTTTTTCTTTTACATTTCAAATCCTCAATTGCTAGGTTCCTTTGTTCAAAACAAATAAAGTGATAATTCTTCGCTAATGTCTAATTATCTTTGTTCATCATTTGATTACTAGAGGTGTTAAATTTTATATTTTAATGCAGTGGATGGTAGATGAGAGTGAACTCCGTGTTATTCATTATACACTTGGGCCCCTCAAACCTTGGGACTGGTGGACATCTTGGCTTTTAAAACCTGTTGATGTGTGGCAGGTATTAGTTCCTTATTTATCAACTCAAATGCAACTTTATGAGCTCCATAATCTATTATTCTAATTTGTCTCCCTTGTTTTCTGAGGAGAGCGCTTGGGTTATTTCTTTGGTGGATTTGGGTGTCTTGGGGGTTGACATTCATTTTTGCATGTGGGCAAGCTTTTGCTTTTATATCTCTTCTGGGTGTATTAGCAGTGGGATTTTTTTTTTTTATTTGTAGGCAAGCTTCTGCTTTTGTATCTCTCTTGCTGCTTTTTCAAAACTGTGACTTTGAAAACTCAATTCCAACCACACTCTTGGTGTGTAAATAATTGCAGATTAAATAACTCTGTCCGGTAATGTTGCAGAGAGTCAGGGAACAGCTTGATGAGTCCCTTCCTGGAACTGGAGGTGGCAAAAATCCTAAAGATGAACTTCTCGTCACATTTCTTTTCTTGTTACCATTATGTCTTGTACTTCTCTGTTACTACCGCCTTTTTCTTCAGGTAAGCTGTTCTATAATTGTTTCCTCAAATGGCAACAGAAGAGATGTATTTCTATTTCTAATGCAATCGATGGTGCAGACAAGCAGAAGTTCATTATGTGATAATATAAGACACCTCTACTACAAAATAAGATCAAATGGAGCATTTGCTTACACTGGTATTTCTTCGACATCTGCTGTCAATTCCACCCATCAGGTTGGTTCCCTCCTCTCTTTCTTCTAAGTTTAATGGCAAATGGGTCATATGTTTGCTGCACTACTTGTTTGACTTTATTATCGTAAGTTACAGTTTTTATTGTGATGTTAAACAGTTCTCTAATGATGCACAGTCCAAGGTGCCTGCCTATTTGGGTGGAGTTTCCATCTTCATGTGTTTTATGGCTGTTTTGGTCTCCATTGTCTTTGGCCTTTCAATTGTGCCTCGGCAAGTGATGCCTTGGACTGGTTTACTCTTGATGTATGAGTGGACATTCACAATCTTCTTCCTTTTATTTGGAGGCTTTCTCCATTTGATCTATCTATGGGGAAAAAGGACGGCAAGTCAAGCTGCATCACTTTCTTCTCATTCCGAAAATTTGGATTATGATTCTGGAAAAGGTTTGTAGACTTGAGTAACATATCCATGCTTTCTTTTTTAATTTAAAATTAGTTTGTAATGCTTATTTCTGCCATAGGTCATCGGCAGGGGTCATCTTGTAATGTTGCTGCATGGTACTACGGTTTAGGGATGGCATCGTTAGCTGCTGCTGCCCCTTCTTTACCTTGTATTTTTGGGGTCACTGCTCTATTTTTGAGGTAATTTACATTATCAGGTTTTATGTTGAAATGTCAGTTCCTAGCCCTCTATGTGAAGGGAGTAAAATTAATGGATCGTATGTGATTTCTTTGCAGGTTAGGATTGATGGTGGTCGGGGGGCTGGTTTTAGCATCTTTCATGACATATGCTTCAGAGCACCTTGCAATCAGATCATTTTTGAAAGGCTTTGAAGACCGAGACACAACACGAGCTAGGAGCATGTGTTTCTAATGTTGACCAGTGGCTTAAAACGTTGATGTAAGTGTACTTTACCTTGGATTTGTAGTCTGTTCAACATTGCAATTGATTTGTAGCTGTCAGGTATAGAGATTTTCCTCTTCCCAAATCTTCTTGTAATATTCTTTCAGGAACAGTTTGATCAGACTTAACAGTGTTACACCCAATTTTGTATGATCCAACTAATGATTTTTGCAGATGTAAATGGTTGAATTATTCACCTTCTTATGGTAATAATAGTTTAGAAGTCCAAGCTTCGCCTACTGATTTCCAATGATAACAGTTTCTTGGTTGACTTCAATTTGTAATTTGTAGGTGTGGCTGCCTTATATCCAATTTTGCTACTGTCACTGTTGCTAATATGAATCATGAACGTATCTCTCCCTTTTTGCTGAGCTCTCTTAAATGGTATTTCTACCCTTTGGTTGTCAAATTGATTCTGGTTTTTGAGAAAGAAGGAAACAGCTACAAAGTGTTTCATTGAAGTGGTTTAAAATTACAATGTCCTGGGAATTCCTTATCGTTGATATGTGATGCCTACCTGAACATATAGTAAAATAAAAGCCAAGGAGATGCAGGCTGGTGATTGAGCGCTTGTTTTTCGGGAAAAGAATTACTATGTACTTTGCATTTTAGTTTCTCTTGATCTTGGCATTTTCTAGCTTAGTGCAAGATTAGCTAGAGGCTTAATATTAAACCTTGGAATATGCATGGATGTGGAAAGAAATTCGAAAATTATGTCGAATGATTAGATTTTCGCCTTTGTTGACCCTTTTGGCCCTGCTTATACGCGTAGAAACACAAATAGGATGCTTATGAATAATTTACATGATCAAATAACCCACAAGTTCCGTGTTATTTGCTGAACCAGTTTTGAAGTGGCTATAATAGATGGTTTAAATATTCAACTCAGGTATGTATGTGTTCCTTTGATGATGGTCATAAAAAGTGCAAAGGTCTGTCTAGACTATTAGATTCTTGATACTATTATCAATTTTTAGCACGTCCAAAAAACTTTGTAAAGCCCCAGGAAGTCTCGTGTACCATGGTCATTCCCAAATCGAGTTAAGCCTTTCAGAAACGTCTTTTCAGAGGCACTTATCTGTTTATCTCATCCAAAGTGCATAGCTATATTTTGCTAATCCGGTTGCAAATTAAGATGAGTAAGGAACACCTTCTGTCTATGTTCTCAATTCAATTTCCAATAGGGATGGCAGCGGCAACCGATGCATATGATGGTTTACCATCCAAACCAAGTGGAAAGGTTAAGCCCTTTTTTTTTTTTTTTTTTTTGGTTAACAAGCAAGTGATTGGTTTCATTTATGGTTATGGTTTTTACAATAACCGAACTGAAAAAATAATATTTAATTTTTTATATGTTTTTATTTTAAGGAATTGAAAAATCACTATCACGCAATTGATTATGAATAGTTAGTAATTCATCCTACGCTTTAAGAATGTTATTTTTGAACTTTTATCATGTTATTGAGATTTGTTTAATGTTAGAGTAACTTGTATGGTTGTTTTTTATTGTAAATAGATACTTTGTGGGATTTAAGAATATGTTTACGTACAAAATCTATTCAGTTGTTATTATTATTTCTTCTATTATTAATGTTATTGTCCATATGTGATTATTTTAATTTGAGTTAAATTTATTTGTTCACTTAGCTTTCTTTAAAGATAAAATAGGTGGTTGCGGTTGATTGAATGGATAATTGATAATCGATGGTTATGGTTTTATAAAATTTATTGTCGATGAATCGGGAATTATGTTTATGATTATGGTTATTGAGTGTTTATTTTGGTTATGGTTATAGTTATATCCAAAACTATAACCGATCATTTTCTTGCATGAACTAGATTAATATAAATTATATTATCTTCTGTACTTGGACTCATAACCAGTCATTTGTCCACCACTTGCTCGTGTTATATGATCCACTCTTTTTATGCCTGCCATGCTTGCACCAATGGACTGTTTAATAAGCACAGATGCATTTGCCTTTTGGCTTTACCATGAAGGAAATAACAAATAAAACCGTCCATTTGTACTATAATAGTTTTTTTAAAAGGGAAACCTTTCTTCTAGCATCTGAATCTTTTGAACCAACCCCAGTTCCTGAACATGTACCAAACTTTTTTTTGTTCTGGGGACATGGCAACAAGCCAATCCACCATAGAAATCTGAATATGATATCAACTTAGGCTCTAGAGGTACTAAGTCAAAACTTGTGAGTGGAGGTTATTGGAAAGGCAGGAGTAACAAGATCTTAATTGATAGTGGAAGGTTTCTAGTGTTGCATTTGCTTATTTGATTTTTGAATCTTCTTCAATTTTAGTGAACTGTCATGGAACTAACCCACCATTGTTAATGATTATATTAAATTTTCCGAGTCCTTGATGAGTCATTGGCCAATAGAAAAATGCTAATTGGTATAGACTTACCTTCATTTTTTTCATTTTAGTTGCTTGTCATTTTCCACTTAATCAAGACATGGCGACTAACCCAAAACAAATTTAATAATTAAAAAAGGAAAAGCAGATTATGAAAGGTGGAACTTTAGTGAATCATCATCCTTATCCTAAAAGGTTATATTGTTCATGACAACTACTATTAATTTAGCTTTAAAAGATGCAGAAAGCTACAAACTTTGTGCCCCCTACAATGTGACTTTTTTCATCGAAAGAAAGTTGGCTGCAAAGATCACAGTCCATTGAAGGGACATGGGTATCTTCAAGATGAAGATACATTGACACCTGTGTGAACATCATTAATATTTGAGGTCAAGATTGTGAAAAGATGGGAAAACACTTTGTCTAGACACAACCAAGTTGATAAGAGCATTGAAGCTAAATCTTGAAATTAATTCCTCTTAGTTAAGTCCACAAGGAAATGGATTGGACCGTACCTGAGGTTGTTTGTTAGTTATTGTACAAACTTGGAGAATATGCATTTTTCTGATACCTTCGTTTACTTGATAGCGTAATTTCTGCAGTTCCTGGAAGTTCTCGTATTTTTCTCATTTTTTGGAGTATTTTAGTACATTATCTTCTTTCCCATGTATTTGGAACCAATTCTGCTTCTCCCCCACTCTAGCTTTGCATCCACAAGACCTTGCTGCACTCGTAATCACTTTTGTTTGGAATGGATCACAGTTTAGATTTCTGTTAAGATTTCGAGATTTATGGTTTCTTATGTTTTATTTTTTTGTGAGTAAATTGGACAGGACAGGACCAGATGAAACCGACCAAGATGAGTGTGTCATGTGGTAGTAGGTGGAACAAAAATTAGGTATGGATCCATAAACGCTAGCGCAAGTGAAACTAAGCAAAAACTACCTCAACGTACTACATTCTCAGAAGTTACAGAACAAGATATTTGACATGATCATCATGTGTGTTCCATAGCTTCACTCGGGACTTTGGTAATTATTTGTTTTTTACTCTATGTGAGGTTTTTATGCAGTAACTAAGATTATTTTTCTTGATAGATAGTCTATAGATTTAAATAACAACTATTACTTAACATGATGATCGTTATAATCGAAACTTTGGTAATTATTTGTTTTTTACCCTATGTGAGGCTTTCATGCAGTAACTACGACTATTCTTCTTGATAGACAATCTATAAATTTAAATAACAGTTATTATATAACGTGATGATCATTAGATAGCAGTTTCAAAAACCTTTAATATCATTATTCGATGTTACATAACAACCGTAATTATTATTTTATTATTATAATAAACTGTGATCATTTTTTCAATTACATCCGTGATTTAAAACTTTTAGACAGTTTCTACATATGTATGTAAGCATGCTATGTTATTGTGTCACTATGCATTGACATTTCCGTTGTACCTGTAATTCCACCTTGGATGACAATCATGAACGACAGCTAATGTCTGGCAATAATGCAAGGCAATTTAAATTCTGAAAGCACCATATGCATGGTCCATGCCAATTATGTCTACTTCCAATAATCAACCATGTGTTATTGCTCCTTTATGTATTCTTTAATTCAAACTTTGTTCCTTGTTATTAACCCTAGCTAGCTAGCTAGCATTTTCATAATTTATTCAACTCCTTTATGTTTAAAGTTTTAACTACTGTCCACTAATTCGTTCACGGAGAATTTTTTTGCAAGATTTGGTTTGTTGCTGATAACAACAAAAGATAAACATAAACAGGTACAAACACACAAGTAATTATTAGTGTTGATTGGATGACAAAAACCAAGCTGAGTTGGGATGTCTACAATGTTTAATTTTGTAAAACTAGAAGGAAAATATTAAGAAATAAAGTAGAGATTAATGTTCTAAAATGATTAATGGTCACTTTTACAGTGTTTAAGCATACAAAAGCACTGAAGAACAGGAAGAGAATTTGTTCGGTCGCCCGGAAGACATAAGATAACAGCTAAAAGAAATGAAAACTCGGGAATCTAATCCGGAGTTAAGATTCCACATATGGTTTTATTATTTTTTACTTTCCTCCATATTCTTGGCAACCAAACGTAGAACCCAAAAAAAAAAAAGAGGAAGAGAGGATAATTCAAAGCCAAGAATTAGACTTGCCTAGAGGTTCTATTCCCTCTGGTCATCATCTTTCTTTTGAATCTTTAAGCCATGGCTCCAAGGCTATTTCATTGTCACCAGCAACCATTCCTTCAAAAGTTCTTCTTCTCCTCAAAAGTACCATGATGATCTCCTCCTTCAGCTTGACCGATAATGATAAACCCTAATTGGGAAAAAAATGAATA